CTTATCTATCTATCTATCATGCACGGCAGTTGGACCTGGCAGTTGAGTGGCCCTTGCCGCCCCTGCCGTTGCACCGCCTGCTGGTCATGTCTGCAAATCACCTGGCTGACCATTATGTGGTGACTGGTGGCGTCTGCAGGTGTTGTCCGTGTATGCACCCACCGCGAAACCCGGGAGGTGTGTGCGGTCAAGATATTGCAGCGGCGGCGCAACAAGGTGGACCGGACGAGCGCGATTGAGAACGAGGTGCGGGGCCTAGGACACTGACGCTGCACCGATATGCTACCTTGCCTCACCTGCTATGTCTGACCTCCAGCCCGCCGCCCCCCTTGCGGTTGCTCACTCACACATGCCTCCGCTTCTGCAATGCTGCTCCCCTCATGCCGCCAGGCTGCCATGGCGCACCGCGTCCGCTGGTGCCGCTCCGTCGCGCGCACGCGCGCCGTGCACATGGATTCTTACTCGGTTTACGTGGTCCAGGACCTTGTCTCGGGCGGCAGCCTGCAGGCGCTGGCCGACGAGCAGGGCGGCAGCCTGACAGAGCCGGAGGCTGCCGCTGCGCTTCGCGGCGTGCTTGACGGGCTGATGGCGTGCCACTCGGAGGGCATCTGCTATGGCGACGTGAAGCCCGCGAGTGAGTGCAGCACGCCGGCGGGGGGTCACCTTTGCGCCGCAGGTCGCTGCATGCGGCAGCCCGCAGCCGCTCGGCCTGCGGCCGCGCAGCCACCACCCAGCGGCCGCCACAGCACCCTTGATTATGCCCGGCCATCGCCGGGTGTGTTGCTCAAGACTGCACCCATCCACCCTGTGCTGCACCCCTCCCTTTCGCCCTCCACCCCTACCCGCACCACCCAGACTTCATGCTGGCGTCCACCTACCCCTCCGCCGCCCACCGCGCCGACCCCTCCGAGCCGCGCGGCGCCATCCACGTCAAGATGATCGACTTCGGCTGTGCCCGCAGCTGCCCAGGCGACGCGCCGTCCCTCGAGGGCCTCAGCGGGACGCCGGCGTACATGGCCCCGGAGGTCGCGCGCGGCGCGCCCTACGGCCGCGCGTCCGACATGTGGGGGGTCGCCGTAATCGCGTACCAGCTGCTGACGGGGCGCTTCCCGCACTGGGACTGCGCCCTCGACCGGCTGGCCGGCATGCCGACGCGGCAGGTGCTGGCTGACGTGGCAGCCGGCGACGTGATGCTGGACACGCCCGCGTGCCGCGCGCTGTCGCCGGCCGCGCGCGACCTGCTGGGGGCGCTGTTTGAGCTCGACCCCGAGAAGAGGCCGCCGGCGTACTGCGCGATGCAGCACCCTTGGATGGTCGCGCACGGGACTGCCCCAGCGCACGCGCACGCACCCGCAGCGGCCGTGCACTTGGGTTGACGGGCTGCGCAAGGCTCCTCGCTTGATGGCATTCTGCCTGCTCGCCGGCGCACATGCAGCAATGCATTCCGCTTTGCGCAGGGTGCTGGCGGGTCCCTTGCGCACGGGCTTGATGCGTGCGCATTCCATTTGCACTTACGAATGTCCCCGGCTGCGACACGGCCGCGGGCGCTCATATGCATGGGCGCCTGAAAATGTGCATGTGCCGAGACAGCCAGGGCGCAAGACGTATACTGTGGCCGATGCGCAGCGCACGCATGGAGCCAGGGTGCATTCGAAAAGATCCGCCCACTGCTCACACCGCATGGCTTATCATCTTCCTTGCGAGTTTGTGCAAGTCGATGGCTTTCACTGGCTGCACACAGTCATGCGAGCCGCAATCACGCATGGGTGCCCGCAGTCGTGCCATTCCTTTTTCAGTGGCTTGCAGGTGCGGCCGTGCGGCAAGCACGCATGCATGCATACAAGTCCGCGCATCTAGGCACGGCGCCCCGTGCGCCGAGCTGTGTACTGGGACCCGAATGCACGCTGGTGCTTTTCACAGCGCTTCAGCATGCTCAGGGCGCAGTGAGCCTGCTGTAGGCCCATGCCAAACGCTGTTTTAGCAGCAAAGATTTGCCACTGAATTCGCCGCGCGATATTCGAGGCGCAGGCGCTCCTTGTGCAGGGCTCGTCCCACATTTGGTGCCGGCGCATTGCCGCTTGCCACTCGTCCAAGACGTCAACCCAGGCACACACCCTTGCCGCTCCCAGGGTCGCCATTGACAGGCGGCGCTTGATATTGGTGTGCTGCGCTGGTTGGCAGGTTGCTGAGATAGGCACCCCAGCTGAGCGCACCTGCCCTGGGGAGCTGCTGCAGGGCTGCGCAACTGTGCAGGGCTTCACCAATGGGGCGCGAAATGCACTTTGCGGCGCCACAAGGTTGCGGCGTTCCCCTCTCGCTCCGACCAATTCAGGAACGTCATCACAACATTAACGACTTGAGCACGCTCATTTTGGGCAATCCCACCCCCTAAGAATTCAGCCAGGAAAACGCTGCGTACATACAATTATCCCCCAGACAACCACCAGGGTTTTGCTGTCGAGCACACCCCACTCTAGGTGCCTGTACGCACGTGCAAGCAGCGCCGCCCGCTGTGCAGCAGCACCACAATCGCCCTCGGAATTCGTCCGTCCTAGTGATTTGGCGGCATTGCGCCTGCAACATGTAGCCCAGCTGCAGCACACACGCCAACCCTTCCTGCTACCTGCGCCATCGACCGTTCTCAGCAACCCTTTGAATGGGTAGCAAAGTTGACGCTTGCATCGCTGGCGCCGGCCATGGGTTGGGGCTCCAGCAGCCAGGCGTCTGGGGATGCTTCGCGCACACCAGCTTCCCCTGATGGCTGCGGCGCCGCACTCGATTACAATCTCATGTAGTTTCTAGACCAAGCGTATGCATGCCTGCTCGCACCACTTGAAGAGCCGCCTTGCGATTTGGCACACTCATCCGCCCAAGAGGCAGCATTGCCTTGTGCTCTGTATGCAGCCGACACACGAGATTCTTCCACGTGTGCACCGCCAGCTGTGCGCAAGTTCACCATATACGGTACACTTGGGCGTTGCTGCATCTCATCGCGTTTGATTTGCCTTGGGTTGTAGCTGTAACTTTGGATTGGCACTTTGGCCCTCCCCTATGGAGTTGCTTTCGCAGACAGTTCTGGCTGGCGCCCATCCTTGTCGCCCGGGCCAACGTTGCTGGGCACTTCAGCAGTCCACCTAATGACTTGGCCTTCCATGTCTCCAAATGCAGAGCCTACTTGCAGCCTGTTTGCGGGATTGGGATGGGCGGGGATACCCCAATCGATCTGAGTGTACTGCTGCTTGCCACATGTGCCCTGCGAAGTGTGAACGGTAGGCAGCCACCGCACCAACCGCACCACATGGTAGGCAAATCCTCCTCCATGCATGTTGCGTCGGTAAATACACATAGCAGTATACCTCAACTACCTTGGAGTCGTAGTCGGCCGTCACCGTCTCACCGGGGATCAAAGGAACAAGTGTGCGGCAAGCAGTGGAGTGCACAAAGCGAGTGGGGTATCCCTGCCCCCATATATACACATATTACCAAGCAGCCTGGTGGCGTGCATCATATAAATAATAGGGGTGCGCAGGGTGCACACTAGGACGGCCGCACCTGTTGACTCATTGACCTGGTCACGCCCAGCATTTTGACGGCTGGGCTGCCGATCGCTGTACATGGCGTGTTCGCAGGCGACCAGACGAAAAGCCCAGTTCTCGCGTTTCGTTTCACGCTCACCGTGCAGGGCTGCGCCGCGTGCACGCTTGCCAAACATGAAGCTCCCCAAGGGATACGTCCCAGGCGTGGGTCTGGTCAAAAGTGAAGGCGGATTTGGTGGATTTGGACAAAAAATGCTGGAGAGGATGGGCTGGGAACGCGGCCAGGGTCTTGGCAGGGAGAAGGCAGGCATGAAGGACGCGATAGAGGTCGTAAAAAAAGAGGACACGCTTGGGGTGCGCATCTTACCGTGTGGACACGCTATGAAGAGCGCCGCTGCGGCGCAGCCAGCGACGGCTGTGTGTGCGCCACTGCTCGCGCCGCCGCTGCTGCTGCTTGTGCCGCTCTGAGGTGCACTGACTTGAACATAGCACAGCACTCATTTGCGAGGTGTTCAGCACAGCTATTCCTACTGTACGGTCTGCAGTTCGTAAGCAAGTAGTGTACGGCCTGACTGGGGCGTTCGCAGTGGAGGCGCCGTGCCACCCGCAATGCCCCCAGCCGTCAAAGCGCACATGTGCACCTCCCACGATGCCAGGTGGGCGCTACCCAAACCGGCTGGAAGTGGGACTGGAAGTACTGGGAGGACGCGTACAACGGCGCCATGCAAGGCGTCAACCACCCCAGCGGCAGCGACGGCGAAGCGGGCGGCAGCGACAGCAGCTCGGACAGCGACGACGACCGCACCACCTCGAGCCGAGGGGCGAGCAGCAGCAGCAGCAGCAGCAGCAGCAGTAGTGACGACAGCAGCGAAGAGGACGAGCCCGCGCTGGACCGGTTGTTGTCCTGCACAGTGGCAGTCAACCGCGACGGCACGCTCGCGTCGGCCAGCAGGGACGAGCTTTCGATCGCCCAGGGCCTGGCCAAGGGCCCGTGGGTGGCGGGGCGCTTCGGCGGCCGCGAGGGCAAGATGGCGCGGATCAGGGCGCAAGAGGAGAGGCAGGCGGCGGAGGCGAGGTCCAAGCTGGGGATCATGCCTGCAGTCAGCGGCGGCGGTGCAGGTGGGCGGCGAGGGCGCGGATGGTCCTGCGCCTGCAGTGCTGCTGTCGGCCGCCCTGCTACCTGCGGTGCTTGCGTGCTTTGCACCGGAACAAGCAAACCCGAAGGCAGGAGAGCTTACGTGTACGTATGTCTCACCCGCTTTGCATGGCTCACGCCCGGCTACCCAGCCTCGGCGCCCTCGAAGAAGCGCAAGTCCCAGGCAGCGGGTGGAGGCGCGGACACCGAAGCTGCCGGCGCAGCGACCAACGCAGACAGCAGCAAAAAGGCTAAGAAGGCAAGGAAGTTGGCCAAAGAAGAAGCCAAGCGGGCGGCGGATGCAGCTTCCCAGCAGCATGAGGATGCAGGCAAGGCGCAGGGCCAGTCGCAGCAGCAGGACGAGCCGCAGCAGGGGCGGAGCACGCGGCCAAAGGGCAAAGTCATCATCGTGGCGCTGAAGGGCGAGGAGGCGCGGCCGGTGGGTGCCGATGGCGGCAGCTGCAACAACCAAGCTGGGGTGGGCACCTTGTGCCATTCCTCAAGCAATGCAGTGGTGGCATGTGCTAGCGTAGCTTTTCGACCCTCTGCCTGCTGTGTGGCATGCTTATCGTGCTCTGCTATTACTGCATTACCCTGTCTCCCATAATGATTTGTTCTCGCCCCAGGCGCTCCCGTTCACTCCCACCCCGGCCACCGGCTGGTGGGGCGAGAAGATGTTCACGTCGGCCGGCCGTCTGGAGGGCATGGATGAGGAGGAGGCAGCGGCCCAGGAGCAGCGGCTTAAGGACGGCGCCGGCAAGGGCAAGGCGCGCGCCGCGTTTGACGAGGACACCCAGGCCAACCTGTACAACCGCCTGCAGGCCGCGCAGCGGCAGGGCAAGCGCGGGATGGGGAAGGCGGCTGTCAAAATTGCAGGTGGGGAGGCGCGCAAACGTGCGCGCGTGCATGACTTTTTTAGGTTTTGGCAAGGGCAGTGGAGCGTGTTGCCCCATTTCTAAGACGCTGCAAGGCAGCGGCACATGATTTGTCGCTGCCGCCGTCAGTGCCCTCTTCATTGGTCCTCAGGTGGCGTTCGCATTGTGACAAGCCCGCATTCACCGCCCGTTGCGCCAACTCCTGCTGCAGGTGGCAACTGGAACGGCAAGAAGACAACGTTTGCTGAGGAGGAGGGCGAGGACTGCGACGGCACGGCAGCAGCTGCCGGAGCAGAGGTTGCCGCAGACGCAGAGGGCGCAGCAACGGCGGCAGCAGCGGCCACGGAGCTCAAGCGGAGAGGCAGCAGCAGTGGCGGCGGCAGCAAGAAGAGCTCCAAGCAGGAGAATGGGGAAAGCAAGGGCGTCAAGGGTGTCCAGGAGGGGGGCAGTGGCACCAAGAAGGTCAAGTGGGTCAAGCTCGCTGCAGCAGAACTCAAGCGCGTGCCCAAGCGGCGTCTTAAGTGGAGCACGCTGTGGGCGGCGCTCTGGGAGCAAGATACAGTCAGCGGGCTGGGCTGTGGCGCCAAGGAGGCCAAGGCAGCCTGCTGGTCTAAGATAAGTGGCAGCAGCAAGCTCGAGATCAACGGCAAGAAGGTGCAGCTCGTCGAACGGGGATGACGCGCTGGTGTGGCAGGCGCTGAGCTCGTGAGCTGCCTCGGTCATATGGCTGCCTCAGAAGCGTTAGGAAAGAAATAAACCTGAGCGTGTGTTTGCATGTCGAGCTGTAACAGAGCTGGAGGAGCTGCTGAGTGTGCTGCGCAAGGCAGTAAGGGCATACAGGGGGACCTGCTGCCAGGATGTTTGGGACCAAGTGATGGACTGCGCTCGCAGGATACGGTCGGCTGCAAAGCACACCCTGAAATGGGGGCCAGCGAGTGATTCAAAGGACAAAAATACTCGCAAATCAGCAGCCTGTGGCCGACCGGGCATGCCACCTACACCAGTGTGGCTGGACGCGTGGCGGCGGAGCGTGCACAGCGCGCAGAGCTCCAGTGATTGCTGGCTCGCATACGTCCTCTGACGGACCACAACATGGTGGGCTCCGTTTACTTCACGCATCATATAGCTATGGCTGCCCAACGATGAAGCGGCTCTACGGGACCAGCGCCCACTGCGAGGTGTGTGGCCACCTCGGGGACGCCCTACCATGTGCAAACTATGAAAGGTGAGAGAACAGAAGGTTTCGCAGGCGGTGGGTCCAGGACGTGCACCGCGAGCGGCATGCGCTCTCCTCGCGCCCATCTATAGATCGCTCAAGGGGCACGGCCATTTGCATGTGAAAGGGATACTTGATTATCCCAATCTCGATTTGGCGCACTGCAGGTGCAAGGGGGCCAGGTGCGGGCTGTGTTTTCCTGTCGTTCTGCTCGAAGAACACCACAAAAAGGCCCAAGACTACCTGAATCGATGGACCTATCTGTGCGAGTCGTGCAACACGGGCTTGCACAGCGTGGTGAACCTCGACGCAGGCGGCACAGGGTCTGCACCAGCGCGCGCCGCGGACAGGGCCCCGCTGCAAGGCACCCTAGCGGCAGCGAAGCGTGGACAAAAGCAGGAGCAGAAGCAGCAGCGGCGTGCAATTCTGAAACAGAGCGATGAGAGCGGATTGTCCAGCGATGAGGACCAGCCATTGGCAAAGCGCATGCACAAGGCTGCAGGTGAGCTGCACCTCCCTGACTGCTTTTGGGGTGCTGGCACAGCTGCAAAGGCCACTGGGTGGCAGTTGTGATATTCCACAACGTGTGTGAAGGGTTTTAATGGTTGAGGGTGATAAGTACAGGCAGAGCAGCGCCGTTGGCCCCCGAATCATGTGGGATGTGTTGCATGTTAGAGCGTGTTGTCACTTGGCATTTTTGCAATTTCCGTGTGTGCGCACAGTGCACGCTTCCATTCAGCCTTCAGTATTTTGGAACAAATTCCCTGGCGCAGGCGCACAAGCGAAGCCGCAGCTCAAAAAGCTGCAGCTGACGAACCCAGCGGCGGCGCGGGCGGGCAGCACGCTGCACAAGCCAGCCAGTGCAGGTCAACTGGAGGTGCAGCAGCAGCAGCTAAAAGCGCCATCACCGCCGCAGCAGAAGCAGCAGAAGCAGCAGAAGCAGCAGCAGAAGCAGCAACAGCAGAAGCAACAGGAACTGCAACAGAAGTCGCAGCAGCAGCCGCAGCACCAGCAGAAGGAGCCGAAGCAGGAGGAGCAGCAGCAGCAGCAGCAGCAGCAGCAGCAGCAGCAACAGCAGCGCAAAAAGGAGAAGCAGCAGAAGGAACAGCAGCAGCAGAAGGAACAGCAGCAGCAGCAGAAGGAGAAGCAGCAGGAACAGCAGCAGAGGGAAAAGCAGCAGCAGGTGCAGCAGCAGCAGCAGAAACCTGTGCAAAAGGCCCAGCAGCAAAGTGCGGAGGCCGTGGTGCTCAAGCGGTCTGCGCAGGAGGGACCGCAGCAGGAGGACGAGCCACTGCGGAAGCGATTGAAGGACGCCAGGTCACAGCAGCAGGCACTCCCGCTGGTGCCAGAGCTTCAGCAGCGGCATGAGCAGCAGCGACAGAAGCAGGAACAGAAGCAGCTGCGTCCTGATCAAGAGCACGACCAGGAGCGGGGAGAGGAGTTGCGGCAGCATCAGCAGCAGCAGGAGCAGCGAGTGCTGCTGCAAGAACAACCGCTGGCGCTCGCGCAGCAGCACTCGCAGCAGCAGCAGCAGCAGCAGCCAGCAGCAGACAGGCGCAAGCCCAAGGAGCAGCATGAGCTTGGTGGCAAGGCCCAGGCACCGCCTGTTAAACCCAAGGCAGCCCAACGCACTGAGCATGGGCAGCAGCAGCAGCAGCAGCAGCAGCAGCGGCAGCAGGCAAGCGCAAAGCCAGATGCAGCGCTGAAGCCAAAAACGGATGCCGCCGTGGCAGCAGGTGCCACGCCAGCCGCGCGACGGTCGCCAAGCCCTGCAGATGGCAGCACTGGCCGTGGGGGCGGCCGCGGCAACGCACCCCCAGCAGCAGAGGCAGTGGTGCCCTGCTCGCAGGCCGGGGGTGGTGAGCTCCAGACGGGAAAGGAGGCGGCTGGCACGGCGGCAGGCGGGGCTCAGGCGGCCAGTGCGACTGGCGGCAGTGTCAACCAGGCCGAGATGATGCGGAAGATGAGTGCGTTCAGGGCCCAAAGGGCGCAACAGAAGGCAAGCCTCAAGCAGAAGGGGAAGCAGCAGGCCGCGCTCGAGGCGCGGCAGCCGTCGGGGGCATTCAACCCCTTGTCCCTGCCTATGGGCATGCTCAACAGCGGCTGCGCATCCGGCGGCGGCGAGGGCGGGGATGGGGGCGAGCAGCAGGCCGCGGACCCATTTGGTTTGGGCGCGCCGGTGCAGGTGGCGGCGTCTGGGGAGTGGGGCGAGGGCACGCGGCGCGGCGGCGGCAGCGGCGGCGGCGGCGCGAGCGAGCGGTTGTGGGAGGGCGATGTCGCGGTGACGTACGACCAAGATGCCCCTGACCTGGTGCGCCATGGGGGCAGTTCGCAGCACGCGTCATCAGCGAGCCAGCAACGGCGGTGATGACGCTTGCGAGACCGCGGCAGCCCGGCATGTGGCGGTTAGAGGCACCATATTGCCCAGGCCAGCCAAGAGTTTTCTGGTTTGTACGGTCCACCGCCCATAAACAGCGTTTGCTGTTGCACAAAGGGGTGCAGCTCTCACACATGCCACAATACCCATTTGTCCGCCCTCACCCCACTCCCGCCCCCACTCCCCCGTCCTGCCCACCAGAACATGAAGCTGTACTTTGAAATGCAGCCCGGTCTGGAGCGAACCAAGCAGCTGACTCAGCTCGCCTCCCTGCCCACCAACGTGCGCCTGTCGGTCTCCAGCTGCACGCGCATCAACATGGTCACCAGCGTCTTTCAGGAGAGCGCGCTGTCGCCGTCGGTGTACTACCGCTGCCGCGTGCTGGAGCGCAACAACTTCCGCAAGGCCTGCAGCGACCTGCCGCGCGTCATAGAGTGAGCGGCGCCCGGCGGCCCTGTGTACGAAGCTCTGCGGAAGCTAGAGAGCCCTGTTGAAGCGAGAGACGCCTTGCTGGGCCTCAGCTGCGCCTGGCAAGCCCCCGGGGCTGCCCCTTCCCCCATGTTATCGCCATGCATACTGGCCCTTGAATCCCTCTCCTCTCCCCTCCTCTCAACCGCACCCGTACGCCCCTCCGCCTCCCACGCACCTTCCCCTCTCAGGCACCTCAAGGCGCGCAAGATGCTGCTGAGTGTGCCGCCCCTGGTGGCGGGCTCCTCCAAGATGTACCTGGGCTGTGTGTGGGCGGGGTCCAACACGGTTGTCACTTGGGGGACAGAGGACCCCTCGGTGCGCATGCGCGCGCGCGCGTGTACGATGTGTGTGCGACGCGATCTTGCTGATGTGGCACGTACCCAAGGGGTCTGTGGGCAGCGGGGTACCGCCGGCGCGATGGCGACGCATGGGGCTTCCTGTGCGTTGCCTGGCATCGTTCCAGGTTTTTCGCCGTGCCTGCCCGGCTCACACACGCACATATACGCACACATGCGCATGCCCTGCAAATGTCAGGGTGATGTCATCAAAACGGACGAGCTGGCGGTGATCGAGTTCATCGACAAGAACCGCGTGCCTGACGTGCCGCCGCGCAGGGCGCCCCGCTCCGCACTCGCGCAGCACAGCAGCAGCAACGCCGCGGCGCACGCGGCGAATGGTGCCGGACACGGGTTTGGCGGCGACGGTGGCGGCGCAGCAGCAGCGGCGGCAGCGGCAGGGTTTATGGCGGGGGACGGGCTGGACGACTTCTCGTT